GCACAACATTTAAAATAATAATTGGAATTATGACTCATAACTCTATACTGGCACATAGCATGGCTAAGGAGGACATTGACAAATTTCCAGGAATTTTATATAATTTCTGAAAACATAACATTTTACCCATACAAATATAACACAGGGAAGGTTAGATATCTCTTTTTATTTGTATCTTTTGTATGATTTTCCTTATAAAAAATACATCCTACTTTACTTGTGAAACATGCCCTACTTTTCTTGCATTTTTTGCATAGAGTCGTTTCTAGTTATTGTATTACTTCTAGTAGTTTTATTTGCATATATTGATTATAATTTTAATACTTAGTAATCTTTTATTTTCCAGAGAAAACTAGGAAGTAAACAGTCATAAACTGTCATATATTAGTATTCTATAGTAGGTTAGAAAATGTATGAGTATACCATCTCCCAACATCTACAGGGATGTGTTTCCTCATAGTACAATTTCTCATTGTGGCAGAGAAAACCATGTTTATTAATGGGCCAAAATATCTTTAGTCTTTCTGTAAAAATAAGAAGCCAAAAGTATATAAACTTGAATTATTTATGTTCAATAATTAATGTTTTAGTATTGTATCTTATTTATAAATGGTCTAGATATTTAATGCAAATCTTTTACTTAGCTTAACTTTAAGGTTAAAAATTACCGAAAGTATTTTGGAAGCTACTATTAAGCAGGTTTACAGTAAACAAATTATTTTTGAAATAATGTTTTTCGCTTTTCACAAGATAGCACCAAAAGTGAAGAAGGAAGCTCCTGCCCCTCCTAAAGCCAAAGCCAAAGCGAAGGCTTTAAAGGCCAAGAAGGCAGTGTTGAAAGGTGTCCACAGCAACACACAAAAAAGAAGATCCGCATGTCACTCACCTTGAGGTGGCCCAAGACACTGCAACTCTGGAGGCAGCCCAAATATCCTTGGAAGAGCACCCCCAGGAGAAACAAGCTTGACCACTATGCTATCATCAAGTTTCCGCTGACCACTGAGTCGGCCATGAAGAAGATAGAAGAAAACAACATGCTTCTGTTTATTGTGGATGTTAAAGCCAACAAGCACCAGATCAAACAGGCTGTGAAGAAGCTCTGGGACATGGATGTGGCCACAGTCAACATCCTGATTCGACCTGATAAAGAGAAGAAGGCAAATGTTCGACTGGCTCCTGATTGTGATGCTTTGGATGTTGCAACAAAATTGGGATCATCTAAACCGAGTCCAGCTGGCTAACTCTAAATATATGTATATCTTTTCACCATAAAAAAGAAATAATGTTTTTAATAAGAATGACAACTTAATTAGAATCAAATCTATAAGCTGTAAGATTTTACATTTCTAGTAAGTATAATATTAGCTTATTTGACTAGAACTCAAGCAGAATAGGAATTTATGCTTGTTTTAAATTCAATAGTGGTAACTTTGAAGACATAGTGGTTTTATTATACCAAAAATATTATATTAACCTTATTTAACTTAGTTTTATCCAAATCATGTTAACTTAAAAAACATTTGATCAGTTCCTATATTTCTAGGAGTTTGGTGAATATTTATTTATAAATGCTTATTTTTTTCCAAGCCAAGTTAGAATGGAGCACCTTTAAAGGATTGTATAAATGAATTTTGCAATGCTATCCTGAGTTAATAAAATATCACATATACATAACACACATTAATAGACATACAAACACAAATAGAGATTTCATAGCTTTCATCCTGAAATTTCAGGCATGAATCAGGCATAAATATTCTGATGGTTAATTTTAGACATCTACTTGATTGGATTAAGAGACACACATAGCTGGTAAAACACAATTTCTGGGCATATGTGTGAGGGTGTTTCCGCAAGACACTGAGATAACCCTGACCCAATGTAGATGGGCACAGATATGGTTTGGCTGTGTCCCCACTCAGATCTCATCTTGAATTGTAGTTCCTATAATTCCTACATGTTGTGGGTGGGACCCAGTGGGAGGTGATTGAATCATGGTGGTGGTTACTGCGATGCTGTTCTCATGATAGTGAGTGAGTTCTCATGATCTGATGTTTTTATAAGGAGCTTTTCCCGTGTGGTTCAGCACTTCTCCTTGTTGCTGCCATGTGAAGAAGGACGTCTTTGCTTCCCCTTCCACCATGGTTGTGAGGCCCCTCCAGCCATGTGGAACTGTCAGCCCATTAAACCTCTTTGTTCTTTATAAATTGCTCAAACTCAGGTATTTCTTCATAGCAGTGTATAAATGGACGAATACAGGCACCATCCAATTGGTTGAGAACCCAGATAGAACAAAAAGGAAGAGGAAAGGGGAATTATCTACTTCTGAAATGGAAACATCCTTCTTCTCCTGCCGTTGACATCAGAACTTTAGAGTCTCAGGCCTTTGGCCTCAGAATGAGAGTTACACCATTGGCTTCCCTCATTCTGAGTCCTTTGGACCTGGACTGAGCCATGCAACGCTTTCCTGGTTCTCCAACTTGGCGCTTTCCTGGTTCTCCAACTTGGAGACAGGCTATCGTGGAACTTCTCAGCCTCCATAATTATGTGAACCAATTCCCCTAATGAGTCTTCTCTCATCTATCTATCTACATATATCACATTGATTCTGCCTTTCTGGAGAACCCTGACTAATGTGATTACAATAATACAAAATTCACTAGTTTATACAGAAGACTTGGATTTTGTCTCTGCCCCATTTTATATTTGTATTATAACTGTGTTTCTGGAAAATGGAACAAATTTTTATCTTCTTCATATGAGGGCTAAAGCTTTTTTCTCGCTAATACTTTTGGAGATTTGTAAGATTTTCTTTTGATTTGACATACAATCTTCTGGAGGCTGAGAAATAATTTTTTTCTATTTTATTTTTCAGCCCCACATGTTTGCTTTTGCAGATTCTTGAGCATGTTGAGAGCCTCCAAGGCATGGAGCAGGGTGGCTAAAGTTTCAGTGATTATAAGGAGTTGAGAGACTCAAATGGGAAAGGAAAGGTCTAAAAGGAGGCAATTTGGAAGATAAAAGTTTTCTCAAAGGAGCCATTATTTCTAAATAATTCTTATTCTTAGTAAAGTCATGCAAACAGGAAAAGAAGTAGACAGAATTAGCTCCATATTGGTGGAACACATAATCAGCAGAGGTTTGAGAAGGGAGAATTTATTCAACTGAGAAGTTCCCATGAAAGGAGCAAGATCAAGATCACAGAGACACCATGAAACAAAAAGCCAGGAATAACTTCCAACCCAAGAGGAGAACACAGAGGCCTCAAAACCAAAGCTAGGATAAGAAACTTGTAGCCCAAGAGTTACCTTCCAGACAAAGAAGCCTGAGATTCCAACCCAGCTTCACAGAGTACTCACTCAAAATGTTACTGAAATTGTAGGCTTTTTAATGACTTAGCCCTGCATGCAAAAGGCATTCCCTAAGGTGGCACAGAAGATGGAGCCCCCATATCCAAAGAGAGCCAAGGAGAAAGAAAGACCCCTGTTGCCAGAGCCAGTGGGCAAAGGCAACAGAAAAGGAGACAAGAATCCTAATGGGATGAGATCCTTTCAGATTTAGGCTTATACAAACTCCTGAGAATTGGCAGGTTGACAGCCATAAATGGGGTACGAACATTTCTACTCAATGGATTACAAGTTCTTCTGCGTCCAAAATGATTAACAAAATGACAATTTCTAGGGCTTTTGTGGGAGAGTATGAAAGGTCTTTTTGAACCTTTTAATGCTGTCAACAGAAGAATGATGACATTCATAAATTTGGAAAGGAGACATGTCTTTATTTTTATGTTTTTTTTTTTTTGGAGATGGAGTTTCACTCTTGTTGCCCAGGCTGGAGTGCAATGGTGTGATCTTGACTCACTGCAACCTCCACCTTCCGGGTTCAAGCGATTCTCCTGCCTCAGCCTCCCAATTAGCTGGGATTACAGATGCCCACCACCAAGCCTGGCTAATTTTTTGTATTTTTAGTAGAGACAGGGTTTCATCAAGTTGGCCAGGCTGGTCTCAAACTCCTGACCTCAGGTGATCCACCTACCTTGGCCTCCCAAAGTGCTGGGATTACAGGCATGAGCCACCACACCAAGTGAGAGATTTATTTTCTATAAAGGGTTGCAGCCTGCAGGATTGTCCTTCTGACAGGCTGGGAAGCATAGCCTCCAGCCAGAAGCCAGAAACAGATGCTTCAAGGGCGATGTAAAGGAAATAGTAATTTATGCTGAGTGGAATTGGCAAATACATATATTTAATAAACTAGGAGGAGTCATGAATATTTATGAGAGGAGAAATGCATGCTTGCGCAATTGAGTTTCTTGCTTCTTCATGGGTCCCATGTACAAAAGATGGCAGTGTTAGCACGATCCCAGGGTAGAGTTTTCAGCCCTCTGACATTAAAAGGTGAAGCAGAGGACATGAAAACTCGCTCTGTGCATCCTCTGTACGCAGGCCAGAACCTCTCCGTCATGGGTGGTCTCTTATCAGGCAAGAAAGGAGAGGTTGATATCAGTGGTGGAGCCTATGAAAGGGCTGGTTTCTGTTGAATCCTTAGGGAAGAAAGCGTCATCATGGTTAGCAAACGAGGGGGTATAATAAGGTGTATCTGACCCGCATCATCCCATCCTGGCCAAGCTGAGAATTCAATTTTGAAAGTTACTCTGGGGTTCCCTCAGCCAATAGTTGGTCTGTTCAGTCAGTTGGGAGCTTAGGATTTCATTTTCATTTATCAATGCTAATGGGAAAGAGCACACTGTCTTCATGGCAGCTGAATTTGCAAGAAACTCCTTGGATGGAGTTAATGGCAGCTGTATTTTTTCTGGGCACTCTGCTTTAATTGGATAAAGTAAGTTCTGGTAAGATTTCTTCCTTTATCTTCAGTATCTCAAATGCTTTCATTTAAATAATCTTTATAAGAACTCTTGATATCTGAGTAGATTCCCACACAGTCATCTAGTATAAGACTTTCTGATTATTTTTTTCCTTTGGTCATTATGAATAGAGCTTCTGTAAATAATTGCATGGTAGCTTTTATTAAGAAATAACATCAAAGTAGTTGTCAAAATACTTAGGAATGTGATTTTTGGATTGTAAGGTGAGACTTGTTTAGCTTTGGAAAACACTGCCCAACTTGTAATAGGGGAGGAAAAAGAATTTTCTATGTTTTCGGAATTCTTAGATGGGACCCTCTGTAACAAATGACGGATTAAAATGAGAAAAACAGGAAAGTTTAAAAACATGTATATCTTATGGATACATGGAAGATACTCAGGGAAAAATGAGTAAATCTCCAACAGGTGGCTTTCGATTCAAGCATAAATACTATCTTCAATGTAAATAAAGAAGATTTGAGGTGCAGTAGTGGGGAGTTAACCACCAAAAGCACAGTAGACAAGGGTAAGGTTTGTTATACAGACTTAAGTCCGTGCATTCTCCGTTGATAAGACTCTTTAGTGATTTAGTTATCCTTCTCTTCTTGGTGCTGAGAGAGAGAGGTAGCTTTTAAATGGGGATTTCCTTTATAGATGTCAATTTTCCTTACACAAGGGTAACTTCTACTCTGTTTTCAGAACTTCCGTGGTTAGCATTTTTTTTCAAAATAATCAGCTTGGAATAATTCTTAAGCCAAAGGGACATATTTTTGGGTGGCATATTCTGGTTTCCTACCATTATATTTTGGAGTGGCATATTTTGGTCTTATACACTGTGTTCCACCAGCAGTGAAAAGAGTTCTTGTTCTTCCTCCAGCAATTTGACATTTTTGAAAGAGTTTAGCAGTTCTAACAGATATAGACCAGCTGTGCTATCTCACTGCGGTTTTCAGTTATCTACTATGTTGAGCATGTTTTTGTATGTTTACTTGCCATCTGTAGATCATCTTTGGTGAGGTGTCTGTTCAGATCTGTGTGCATTTTTAATTGGGCTGTGTAACTTATTGTTCAGTTTTAAGAATTTTGTATATATTTTGAATACAAATTCTTTCTCAGATCTGTATTTTGCAAATATTTTCTTTCAATATGTGGCTTGTCTTTTTGTTCCCTTCACAAGGTATTTTCCAGAGTATAAACTTTAAACATTAAGAAATCCACATTGTCATTTCTTCTGTGTATATCAACCTTTTGTGTCATTTGTTAAAATTCATGACCAAACCCAAAGGCACATAGTTTTTCTTCTCTAGTTTCTTATAGAAATTGTACAGTTTTGCATTTTTAGTGTAAGGATGATTTTGAGTGATTATTTGTGTAAGTTGTAAAGTTTTCATCTACATGCATATCATTTGCTATGGTTTCCAATTCATTGTTCCCTCACTATTTTTGGGAAAGACACAGGGTAGTGGGCTCTGTTAGAGTAGATAGACAGCTAGACATGAACAGGAGGGGGAGCTCTGGGAAAAGGGAAAGCCTGGGAAGGCTCACCTGGAGGGACCACCAAAAATTAACATATTAGTAGCATCTCTAATGCTGGAGTGGATGAGCACTTGTCAATTGTGGGTAGGAGGGAGAAGAGGTACCTATGCAGACAGAAACACCCTACAACTCCTGTTAA